GGCGGCCTTCCTTAGCAACCGCGGCCCTTAGCAACGGCTTCTAGGCCCCCTTCCCTCCCTCTCAGGGTGTTCCTGAGGGGTTCCTATGAGGGCTCAGCGCTGAGGAGCACCTGTGGGGTTTTTTGGGGGGGGTGGGGTCACCTGTGTGTTTTTTTGTGGGGTTGGGATATATTGGGGTCACCTGTAGGTCTCCGTTGGGGTCCCAAGGGGGTCAGCTGTGGGTCTGGGGGTGCTGTGGAGGGATACGGATGGTTGTGAGGGGTCTGTGTGGGGTGTCAGTGGGTCTGGAATGTCTCAAAGTGTAACTCTGTGGGATGGTGTTGAGTCTTGGAGGGATTGGGGGGTTACCCGTGTGTCTGGGGGGGGTCTTGGGGGGATGCCTGTAAGTTTGGCAAGGTTGTGTGATGTGCAGGGGGCAATAGGGGGCTTGAAGGGGGCTCTATGGGATGCCTGTGGGTCTCAGAGGGGAGCTGTAGGTGTGTGTGTGGGGGGGTGTGCGTTGGTCTGGGGCATCTCAAGAGAGGGAATCCAGCATTGGATCTTGGGGGGACCTAGGGGGCATGTGTACGTCTGGGGGATGGGGATCAAGGGACTCTGGAGGGGCTCTGTGGGACACCATTGGGTCTGGGGGTGCTCTGGAGGGATATGGATGGCTGTCCATCCATCTGGAGGGGTCTGTGTGGGCTCTCAGTGGGTCTGGGACATCTCTAAGTGGGGTCTGGTGTAGCTCTGTGGAATGGTGTTGAGTCTTGGAGGGATTGTGGGGTTGCCTGTGTGTCTAGGAGGGGCCTTGGGGGGCGCCTGTAGGTTTGGCAAGGCTGTGTGGTATGCAGGGGGCAATGGAGGGTCTTTAAGGGGGCTTTGTGGGGTGCCTGTGGGTCTCAGAGGGCTCAAGGAGGGGAGATGTATGTTTGTGTCGGGGGGGGTGTATACATTACTCTGGAGCATCTCAAGAGAAGGAATCAACCATTGGATCTTGGGGGTCCTATGTGTGTGTGGGGGAGGGGGATCAAAGGACTCTGGAGTGTGGGACACCTGTGAGTGTGGGGGCAGGCGAGGGAGACATTTGGGGCTCTCAAGATCTCTAAGGGGGTTCAAAAGGTTTTGGGGGGGCTCTGGGATGGCACAAGAGAGTCTGGAGGGAACTCTAAGGGGTCTCTGTGGCAACTCGGGGCTCTAGAGGGGCATTTGTGGATTTGGGGCATCTACAGGAGGAAGTTCAAGGTAGCTCTAGGGAGCATCATTGGATCTGCAGGGCCTGAAGGAGGGCTGAGGGCATGTTTGGGGTGCTGAGGGGTCTCTGTGGGCTCAGGGAGCTCTTGGGGGCACCTGTAGGTTTACACTGGGGTGCTCTGGAAGGATGTTTGGGGCTGTGCGAGGTCTCTAAGGGGATTTGAGTGTCTTTCATCGGGACCTGTGGGTCTGGGGATGGCACTTTGGGCTCTGAGGCAGTTTCTTGAGGGGGTGTCGGGGTTGTAGGGTTTGGAGAGGGGGCACTGGGCTAGGGGGTCGTTTGTAGTGGGGAAACATTTGGGGCTGTGGGAACTTTGAGTGGGGGTGCTGTGGGTGTGGGAATTGAGAGAGATAATAGGGTAAACGTGGATTTTGGAGAAGCTGTAAAGATTTTGGGGGGACAGCTAGGGTGTAATGAGGGAAAGGGAAGCAGGGACTGTGTATGATATGGGGGGGGGTCCCATATCCCTCCAGATGCCCCGGCACTGCTCCGCCGCCGGCTGCTGCACCCGCGACACACGGGAGACCCGCAGCCGAGGGATCTCCTTCCACAGGTGGGTGCCCACTGCTGCCTGGGGAAGTGGTCTGGGAGTGTGGCGGGACCCCCTCATCGCCCCCCAGAACTCTCTGTGCAGTGGTGTTATCTTAGTGTGCTTTTTTTATTATTATTACTTTGCCTTTTTTTGAGGTCAATTTAATCCTCTCCCCCCCTTTTTGCAATGGTTTGGCCCAACTGTCTGTTCTAGTTTCTTTATTAGTGATCTGACCCAACTGTGCCCTTCTCTTTTATCAGGGGTTTGACCCAGATGTATTCCCTTCTTTTATTATGTCCTTGATATGCCTCCCTCCTTTATGATGGGGGTGTTCTCTTTTTCCCCCCCTCCTTTATGATGGGGGTGCTCTCATTTTCCCCCCCCCTCCGCCCCCATTCGATTTACAAGTAGTTCCTCCCTGGGCTGTTCCATTCACACATACCAGAGGGGTCCACCCCTCCAACTTTTCAGAAAACAACCTTGGGGGGGGGG